CGGGTTCAAGTCCCACGCCCGCAGGACCAAGGGTGGGCAGGTGGGTGGACCTGCAGCGCTCCAGCCTGCTCCTGGCACGGCAGGGAAGGAGCCGCACGCACCTTGCCAGCTTCTCAAGGGGTCCCGAAAGTCATTTTCCTCATTCAGTCCAGCAGCCTGGGCTCCACAGGGGCCAGAAGGCCACCCAGGCCTGCTCTGGTGCCCTATAGCAACCCCACGCCGCAGGCGGGATTCATGCGAGGTGGCCGCACGCACAGGCGGCGCAGTCACAGTGCCCAGCTGCTGGCCCAGCTTTGGAGAACAAGGGCCTAAAACACCTTAACCAGCTCTGTGCGCTGCAAGAGTCAAACCCCAAAGAGGCAAAACACCCTTCGAAGCAGGGCGTCAGGGCTGGCCCGGCCCGGGATGCCAGATTGGCGCAGCTGAGGGTGCTCTCCCTCCTCGTTACCAATCTCTGTAAGACTCGGAGGCAAGGCACGCTTATACATTAAAAGATTTTATTAATACAAAAAAATACCAAGAACAATACTCATGAATAGGCGTAAAGTCTCCATCCAGAGTCACAGCTGATTGAGTCACTATTTAAATTATATTCTGTGGCTATCGGACCTTCATGCTATTCTAGCAAGATAAAACCCAGTGTGCAAAAACACAATTGGCATCTCCTCCGCGAGGAGCTTTGACAAGGATGCAAAAGTGCCAGGCACTGATTTCGGAAGTGGCAAAGGCTCATGGATGTCCAGTAGTAGCCTCAGTCCCATCCTTCTTTTTAACTAAGTATAAAAGGGAGCTTGGTTTTCATAACATGGAGTTAGTAACCTTTAGTGAGGGTTAGTTTAGTTTCTTTTCACAGTACACAAGTAAAATGGGCATTCCACATCTCAACACTAGACCTTAGACAGCTTTCCAGACATTTCACCGTATTTCATCCTGAGCAATTACCTCACGCTACTGGCTCAGATTTATTTCAGCAAAGCTGATGACCCTCCAGTCATCACTTGTTTAAAGATATATAGTGTCACATTCTGAGAATTTTTAAAGGGAGGAAGAGAACACAGGGAAAGCAGAAGGCAAAGGAGTAACATCAGTACAGGCACCCATGGGACCACTTAAGGCTCTTTCAACCATCTCCATCATGCACTGTAGCTCTCATCCTCTATTCAGCCTCTCTCCTATGGGAAGCTCAAGTCAGTATATTTCTTGCCTGAAAGCGTCCTGCACGCTGTGAGTTTGCTTGCAGTGGAGCACCCGCTGTAGACAAACTAGGCTGTTCCTGTTCCCCTTGACCCACAACACGCAGACAGGCCCAGGATCATCTCAAAGGCTGCTCCCAAACTGAATTTTAAATCAGCACTCTTGCATAGTGGCACTGCACTTGGTCAGCTCATTCTGCTGGAAGGGGCCCAGGTGGGTGCACATGAACCAAATGCAACAGGAAGGACAGTGCAGAGCACTAGTTCCCAAAGAGCCACCATTTCCCCCCCCACTCCTTCCCATCTCACTGGTTGCACTCCTGGAAAGAGCAAGCCCTTGATACCTGCAAATCAAAGAGCAGCTTCTAACCAATGCACTGAAGAGCTCCGATAGGAACTCTGTAAGAAACTGCCCATCACTTACTCACGGGACCCTGCAAATCCAAAGAAATCCTTAGATACAACTCAGGATGAGGAATGGTGCTAAGCTGCACCCATTTTTCATGTTTTTGCTTAAACTCGTCATCCAACTTGATGCACCTTAAGGGTGCATAAAGCAAGTACAGTTAAGGCACACGAGTCAACTTCCAACTGAAAGCACATGAACCCTACCAGCCCCTCTCCACAAAGCCCTAACGAGCCAGACAAGTATGTGGTCCATTTCTTACCGATGCCTAAAGCACATCCAGGTGCTTTCAAGTGTTAGGTATCCACTTACCTCAAACAATGAATGACTATTTTCAAGTTCTGCTGTCAGTTCCTGGGGTAAAGTATTTGATAGCCCTTCTTAATTTTGTAACTTGCAATGAAAATTTAGATTTGGTCTTCACTCTTCTGTTCCATTGACTTACAAACTGTTTTCATGCAGTACAGGCCCATTCCGATATTCAGGGGAGGAATGTCAGCTAGCAAACATGGTCCTGTCTCTTCTCTCAGCTGGGACTGGTCACTCAGTTGATCCTTTTGTACAGCTATCAGGCACTGCAGCCATCTATTTCTCAGTTTCCTCATGAGACTGCACTGCTTAGTTTAACTTGTCAGCCCATTTCAATGAAAGCTATGAGACACACGTACCTCGAACAAAATTCCTAGAAGACTTGGCGGGGAGGGGGAGACTAGAGAGGAGACAGAGCCACAGCAGAGCGCACACTGAAGGGAAGGCCATGGCACAAAATTGAATTAGTTTTATACACCAGAGAACCGACAGGGAAGAAAAATTGAGACTCAACTGCATGGAAACTTTCCAGAGCTCATACCTTTAAAATTAGACACAGACTAATCCAAAGCCACAAAAAATAAAATCAGGCTTCATAAATTCTACTTGCCATGGAGTTATTCATAGAAAACTACTGAGAAATCAAAGATGGGACAGATCAATCTACAGGCATGTAGCAAGACGTGTGGGATTCCCTCTATTTCTGCTTGTTCTTAGGCACAACATGAGGGCTTTAGGCATGAGAGGGGAAGCAATGTCAGCTTTAGAATTTAGTGTTATTTTACCATTATCCCACATATGCTAAACAAGTTGTGTTGTGCCATCTTTGTTCATTTAAAAAAAGTAATTCATCACCCCCTGCTGGTAAGAAAAGTGAAAAGCCATACGGTAAATTAGACCAGTAAGATGCATACATATTCCAACTCTTTGGAAGCTTTTAAATACAACTTCAAAGCATTTTATTCCACAAAGGAACAGCAAGTACCTTTCTTAAGAAAGGAAACTCTATAATGGATCACTCTTTCTTTTAAGCAGAAGATGATGTAACCATTACAGGACTCCCTTTCTGTCCAGATGACTCCTGTGAAATACCCTAACAACCTCCAGGTGGCACATATAGGAGATCTCCTAAGGAGAAATATGTCTTAAAAAGCAATTTCGGGAAACAAGTGCAATTTCCTTTCAACTCTGTCTTATAAGAAGGATACCAATGTATATTTTAATAGTTTTATTTTAATTTTCCCCAAGGGGGAACCAAAGGCAGAGAGGTGTTGTGAGATACATCACGCTGTTCTTATGGGTAAATCAATTTGTAAATGTTATTTTACCACTCTATAAAAATACACACAGGAGTGTGAAGGAAGCAAAGTAGATCAGAGTGGCTGTTATGGAGCAAATGCATTAAATATAATCAGATTTTCCCCCTAAAAATTGTGGCTCCTTGTGTTCCATAAAACCAAAGTCTTTAGTAGCCACATGCCACAGGAACAGAAATTAAGTGGTAGCTTCCTTTAAGCATGTGCACACAAAAGCATTAGTAAAGAACTGCTCCCATGGGACTAGAGAGTAGATGTGAGCAACAAAGCTCCATCCACACTAGGAAAGAAGATATGCAGTTATTTTTATTGTCTCAGCTTCCCATCCAAACTCCTGTAAACAGGTTCCATACCATTCAGGCATCTCTGATAAAAGAGTCTATAGTTCTATAAAAAGAAGTCACACTGTAAGATCCAGATATTTACCCTGTATGTGTTATGTGAGCACAAAGAGGAACAACCTTCCAATTTCAAGACACATCCAAGCAATTTGTAAGTGACCTGATTCCTTTCTCTGTCCATCTGTGCTGTGTGAAATTCAGTTTAAGTGCCTCTTGACAGGCAGAGACAGTTTGCTTTTAAAAATATTTAAGGACACATTCTTTTAAGAACTTCCTGGAACATTACTGTGGAAAATGAAAGTGCTCCCTTGGTGAGATTAATGTGCAAAGCTCTACAGACTTCCGTCTTTGCTGCTTGCTTAGTATTCCTTCCCTTAGCAGATTCATGATAAGATGAGGCTCAATACTTCGCAATGAGGCCCATCATCCACCTGTAACAAGCAGGTGGACACTGGAAAATGTTTCATGTTTAATCATAAAACGTGGAATAAGCCAGAAAAATATTGTTCAGATATGATCAGTATGGTCTCTTGATTGGGTTTATATACCAATGGCCTGTAACACTCGCTTTTCATTCTCATTGAGATGGTCTGAAAACATTGCATAGCACGGCTGCTGTGCAAACTGACACAGGAAGTCAGTGAGATAGGCCTAAAAAGAAGACAAAAAGATCAAGTTAGCATTGCTTCACTTTGGAAATTCTGTTTCTTTCGTGTATCAAAAGGTAAAACTAACATACACCAAATAAAACAAAGGCAATACAGGGAACGTGGAGAAGGGATGCAGAAGGACGGGAGGCAGCAGAGGGGAAAGGCTGGTAAACAGCTTCCAGGTGGTGTTAAAAAGCAGGGTCAAAGTATTGCCCAGGAACTGTGACTGGATAGGAGCACCTCCAAGTGGAACATTCAAGTTCTGTAACGTTCAGTCTCCACCAGCTTTTGATCTCATCAAAGAGCTACGAAGAGCCTCAACCCCTGCCCACAAAGGGTCGTTGATTCACATTTCCAAATTATAGATATTGCTACAATAAGAAACAATGGCTCAGGGCGTTCTTTGGATACTCAGCACTTCCCAAAGCAATTTCAATAAACTGAGTACATTCAGGACAACAATCGTTATCTGGTGTCAGCGGTGTTTCGCAGTTTTGTTCAAGTACAATATAAAAAATAAAATTTATAGAAAATGATAGAAATCAGATAAAAAAAGAATCATTCTAGAGCATCACCTGGAGATCTATTTGGTAAAGAGGGTCCTTTAATGCATCTGGATCGTCCTCTTCATCATCTTCATAGTAATCTTCATCTGTCAGAGATAAATCAGCAGGTTTTAACACTGAACAGATCAAAATATTTCAGGAAGCATCCTATTAGACTATTGCTAAGATCTAAGGCTCCCCAGGAGCGCTGAAACCATTTGCGTAAGAAGTCCTGTATCCAAAATATATTCCCTTATATATTTAAAATATTCCCTTATGTTTACACGGTTAAACCCCTCCCCCCCCCGCCCAAAACAAGAAGGGTCACAGTGGGAGTTTCAAGGAATGCACAGGTGAGACTAGCACACAAGAGATACTGCACGAGTTTGTCGTTAGTTACGTGCACTCATGCCACATTTGCATTTCTGTACTGCTGCTAAAGTACTCCTTTATTGTATTACCCTGTGAGGTTCTCTAAGATTATATGCAACCTGGAGAGCTGAGGAAAGGAGGTATTATACTCACTCCCTGTTCTTTCTACAGCAATTATTTCTCAAGATCACCCTACAAACAAGTTCATCCACTGCTCTGGCACTGTCATTTCAAGGTCGCATCTACATCCTTGAGCAATTTTCTCTTTAAAAGAGATATTTGCATGAACCTCAAAAAAAATGAAGGTCTACATAGTTTTTGAACTCGCCATGTGGAAAAAGCGGTTAATCAATCATAAGTGTAATTCAAGGACATGTCCCTCTTTTCCAGAAAGAGACCCTTATTCAAAATCCCAGTGTAATATTCCCTTCCTTGCCTGCAGTCTCTGTTGAGCTGCTGTCAAGAAAAGGTAACTTTCAGAGTAGAATGCCATCTAGTCTATTCTATTTTTGAGTAGCACTTTAAAGCTGTAACTTACCATACTTGTTTGTGGAAAGAATATCTGATAAGAACTGTCCTGCTAAGCTTTCATCTTCATCCTCATCTTCTTCTTGATCCTCCCACATATCATTCGAATCATCTGTTTAGAAAACAAACATTTCTAGAAGATAAGCAAAATCCAACAAGTCAGCCCGTCAATCACCCCTGTAAGGGACTCTACAGCTTTTAGGCAAGCCTCCCTGCTTGTTTATGTGGGTCCAGAGAAACGCACACAACCGTTAATATTCTTTTGGAATGAGTGGTTCACAATAGCTAGAACTGGCAAAAGGAAGCTGCAAGAAAGTATGGCCAAAGTAGGGAGGAAGGAAGGGGAACCAGATAGTCTGAGCAAAGATAATTTTCCTTTATAGGCATATGACCAGATCCCGTTTTCCAGATAGACTGGTCAAAAATAATATTCAGTTATAAGAACAGATAACACTGACTGATCTTATCCGTTGGATCACCATTTAAGCCTTTATAATTATAGGTATAATATTTACAGCTGTCAGTTCTTTACTGCTCTAAATGCTTCTGGCCCAAAACAAGAAGGGTCACAGTGGGAGTTTCAAGGAATGCACAGGTGAGACTAGCACACAAGAGATACTGCACGAGTTTGTCGTTAGTTACGTGCACTCATGCCACATTTGCATTTCTGTACTGCTGCTAAAGTACTCCTTTATTGTATTACCCTGTGAGGTTCTCTAAGATTATATGCAACCTGGAGAGCTGAGGAAAGGAGGTATTATACTCACTCCCTGTTCTTTCTACAGCAATTATTTCTCAAGATCACCCTACAAACAAGTTCATCCACTGCTCTGGCACTGTCATTTCAAGGTCGCATCTACATCCTTGAGCAATTTTCTCTTTAAAAGAGATATTTGCATGAACCTCAAAAAAAAATGAAGGTCTACATAGTTTTTGAACTCGCCATGTGGAAAAAGCGGTTAATCAATCATAAGTGTAATTCAAGGACATGTCCCTCTTTTCCAGAAAGAGACCCTTATTCAAAATCCCAGTGTAATATTCCCTTCCTTGCCTGCAGTCTCTGTTGAGCTGCTGTCAAGAAAAGGTAACTTTCAGAGTAGAATGCCATCTAGTCTATTCTATTTTTGAGTAGCACTTTAAAGCTGTAACTTACCATACTTGTTTGTGGAAAGAATATCTGATAAGAACTGTCCTGCTAAGCTTTCATCTTCATCCTCATCTTCTTCTTGATCCTCCCACATATCATTCGAATCATCTGTTTAGAAAACAAACATTTCTAGAAGATAAGCAAAATCCAACAAGTCAGCCCGTCAATCACCCCTGTAAGGGACTCTACAGCTTTTAGGCAAGCCTCCCTGCTTGTTTATGTGGGTCCAGAGAAACGCACACAACCGTTAATATTCTTTTGGAATGAGTGGTTCACAATAGCTAGAACTGGCAAAAGGAAGCTGCAAGAAAGTATGGCCAAAGTAGGGAGGAAGGAAGGGGAACCAGATAGTCTGAGCAAAGATAATTTTCCTTTATAGGCATATGACCAGATCCCGTTTTCCAGATAGACTGGTCAAAAATAATATTCAGTTATAAGAACAGATAACACTGACTGATCTTATCCGTTGGATCACCATTTAAGCCTTTATAATTATAGGTATAATATTTACAGCTGTCAGTTCTTTACTGCTCTAAATGCTTCTGAAGAGATTAAATACTTTTGCTAACTGGGCAAGTGGATTTAAGCCATGCAAAGAGGTAAAAACCAACCCTCGTGTCTTACCTTGACTCCAGTCTGCAGTTGTCTGTCTAGATGCATTTGCTTCCATTGCATTAGAGAGTTCATTTATTATTAATTTTAAGATTTTTACTAACAAAGGAATGTTTGTCCAGCGCTCAGGATCTATAATAGAGAGAGGAAAAAACATATATATACACACATACATATATAGATAGTTATATAACTATTTTTTTTCATATTCACACTACCTTTAATAAAAATCTTAAAGCTAAGCCTTTTTTTTTCTCTGTTGTTGTGTTTTGTTTTTAATCTCACTATACACTTACAATGCTCACAGGCCAGCAGAACTTCCAGGCTGGAAGGGAAGAGGGACAGAACAAAAACTCAAAGATTCCTTTTGCCATAGTCTCACAGTTAGATTTCCAAAGATCTAAATTGCAGTATCAAAACTAGCATACTGAATGAAGAGAAGACATGGGTAACATCCTTCACAACTGAGTGATTTTGTGAGCGTACTCAATTAAATCAATTACTGACCTCACTTTATTAAGCATTCTTTTCTGAAATTATTGTTGCATTCCTAGCAGTGCTTTAAAGTAAACGAGCAGCACAGCCCTCCCAAGCATGTCTACTGCTTACCCTTTCTGAGACATTGCAAAAACTGAATTTTCTTCACCAGGGTTCCTGCAAAGGTTAATTAGGGATAGCTAACCAGTATTTTTACCCTTAATTGCCAAGGTAAAGATCTTTTCAAATAAAGAAATTGGGAATACTAGTTTCCAACTCTTTACATGCTCAAATGCTGGTAATTACCAGTCTTCTGTCTGGCTAGACAATGCCCTGTTGGTTTTTGGTTTTTTTTTCAGCAAGTAATAACAAGGTAGGAGGTGTTTTGTGACCACTGCTTACCTCTTACATTCCCAGGGTTTTCCCTATTTCCCTAGTTGTCAGTTTAGTCCTCTATTAAGGGTTACTACATAATCCCTTGAGTTTAAAACAGCCGAAGGCTTGAAGAGTACTGACCCCGTAGACAGGCCTCTGCTCTGCATCAGTACAGCCATTACGTTCTGTCCTGCAGCTGGTTGCGTGTGAGCACCAGCATAGCAAGTTGCAGAAGCAAGGTTTCGACTGACTACTGTCGAGGAGAGTGGCTCCCCAGCGTCTTCCTCAGAGGAAATGCCAGGTGCTCGCTCCTGTCTAATATGAGGATCTCTATACAGCAACCTCCTAACAAAGATTTTGGGTTCAGCCAATTAAAAATGTCACGGGAATTTAAGGCTCATGAGAGAGATATTACTAAAATAGTAAGACAAGTCTTAGGCAAGAGACTGGCTAAGGTTTCCTTAAAAGTTTCATCTCTAACCTCATTAGAGGTTACAATCATTGCTGATATGTAAGTTTAAGTCTCACTGAAAATATCAGTTCCTTGTATCTGTGTTCACTAAACACATTTACCTCAGAAAAGTTACTTAGCCTCATGACAGTATCAAGTCCATCTCCGTAGATGGAACAGAATGATTTGAAATAGTAGTGAATACCTCCCTATCCCAAAATCGCCTCATCTACTTAAGTCAGAGACATTTCATAAGTCTTCCAAATCAGTCTTTGGTAGAACTAAGGCAAATAATAGATATGTTAAACACATGACGTATGGATCAGCTCTAGAAAAACAACATGCACTTCTATAGGGAATACCTAAAAACTGTGGGAGATTTGGAAGATCTATTCTAAGGCTTTTCACAGCATCTACTAACAGGAAATATTTGTTAAAAAACAAAACAAAACAAAAGAAAACCAAACCAAACCACCCAGCAGAATGATTACTTACTTTTGGCTGACTTTGATCGTGTCCGTATTCCCTCATCCATATTAAATATTTCTTCCCCCTTTACCCTAATGTCCTGAAGTCGCTTGTCTTCTGTGTTGATGCCGTACTGAAGGAGTTTACACAATGCTACAGAGCTAGAGAGCAGGGGATAAAAATATCACAGATCAGAATTCTCTCTCCACTGCCTGGCTTGCACAGTAGCCTGTTAATAGGGAACGTGTCTCTCCAGAGCAGACATTCAGATGCCCCTTTTTGTAATGTTTTTGCCAAGAACGATCATTACAGAATTTTCCCATTTCTCCTGTTTTCCTTCAATATCTGAAATTGGACTCCTCTCCTGAAGCGTACAATAGGCCAAAAACTCGGCCAAAGCTTTGGATTAAAACACTGCCAAGCGCTGCATGCATACATCTGCAAGTGTTTCCAGCTCAGAAGGCCACGAGGTTAAGCACACTCCTGAAGCATTAAGTCAGGTGAAGATGGAATTAAGAGGAAAGCAATAACAGGAGCAGAATAATTTGGTTGATCTGCAGTCAAGAACACCTCTTTTACCTTTCTCTAGTCTCAAAGCTCCTTTTCATTTCTGGTCACAGCTCAACTACGCTCAAACCTTCTAGTTCTGTTCCTTCAGTATCTTCGCATATTGCGCCTCCACTGCTCCGATTTCTAGTTTGCACCTGTAGCTCTCAAACCTTCTCCAGTTCCACTGTTTTCACGCCATATGGAGGATGACTTTGGCTATAGGATAGGCCACCAATTCATGCCTGGCACTCTTTAAACCTCCTTCCCGGCTCCACACGTCCCAAACTGAAGTTTCTCTGAGCTACATTAACTCTCTCTTTTCATGCTTTCACTTCACATCTTTCTCTCCTGCAGTGCTACTCTGAACCTCCAGTTCTCATATAGCTGTTTTGAGCCTAGATCTTTACTTATCAACTCTTGAGCTGCCCCAAGCTTTTTTTCCTTTTCTTATGCAAGTCAAGGACAAAGAACCACTTCTGCAACCCACCACTCACAAGGGATGGCGACTGATGTGCACAGAAGGTTTACCTGTTGTCAGCAGTTTTTATTTTCCTTTTACTAACTTCTACTTGTCTGTCTCTAACAGGATCCTCTGGGCAGGCACTGCTTTTCTTCAGTACCTAGAAAATGCCTATAATTCACTATGAGCGGTTTATAATTCACTATGACCATTACTGTAAATAACCCAAAATAGAGCATTTAACATACAAACAGCTCTAACCTTGGGCGACACGGAGAAAGAAACGTACCACAGGGAATTTAACCTTGTTTTCCCTATCACCTTCAGCTTTGGCTAATTCCTGTGGCCATAAGCAGCATCAAGGGATCCTGCAGACAACACTGCTCACAGACAACACTGCCCTTAAGGGACAACATTGAAAAAGCGTGAGGAAAAACAGATATTCAGAAAAGAAAAGTGAGATATTTTGCCTTACTCAGAGTAACCCAATAACAGAGTAGTCCGAGGTATACCTGACCCTCTGCATCAGGCCGTCTCGTATTCTGCATGATCATTCATGAACTTCCATTTTAAACACACCTTTTCTTATTATTTATTTTACAAGCTATTTGGCTGCCTCATAACAATAATACACCAATGCATGCTAAGAAGTGAGTTAACAGCTGGTGAGTCCCCTGACAGGGGTCTGTTAGGCTTGACACTTCCATAAAAACTCAAAGACATCAGCTACTGCAAAATTTAAATTAACAGAGCATTTCATGCTTTGGAATATAGTAGTCAGCCTCCTCGGAACACAAATGTGCTTCTACCACAAAAGAGAGAAAATAATTTCTTTATTGACTTTGAAGAGCTCATTAAATCAACAAGGAATCATCAGCCTCTTTTAGGAAGCCCTCAACAATGCTCTAAGCCTCTACAACCTATAAAGGTAATTTCCTTTTCAGAAGCTGCTCTCATCCTGTTCACAGTTTCCATCTCAAAAAGCACTCTTGTGCTTGCAAGAAACAGTCCCTTCCCACTTGGGTCACACTGTCCTAGTGCAGAAACATCAAGCAACGAGAGAAGCACTTAGTGGAAGATCAGAGATTGCTCCAATTACCCCGGCTCTCCTGAGTGGAACTGACAACGCGGTGGGGGGGGAGAAGCAATTCTGTCCAACGCTGACACACACTAATCCAAGTCTTAACCAGCTTCCCTTTCCCTCATACCCAGCGCGCTTAACTGCAATGGGACGATCAGTCAGCTAACATTAATGCACGGTTTCTGTTTCTAAGATATCCTACCCATCCTACCTGACTTTGCCTTCATATTGCCCATAGAACAAGTGCTGCCGGCTCATCCATTCAGCCATTACAAACTCCAAGGCAGGCTTGCCGGTTGGTCCAGGGAGACTACACAGAAACTCTAAAAGTGGTTCCAGCTGTGAGTGAACCAAGTGAGCAAATACCATAATCAAGGACTGCAAGAGAAAAAAAGGAGACATTAGCTGTACATAATTTAATAGCTAAAAATGTTTTATCAACTATGAAACTAAGAGTAGGCCATTTAGGACTGGAAACTTTGTGTTTAGATAAAGTCCAAGAGAAAGAGAAAAGTATAACCATCTGCCCAGTACCCAGTGTGCTACAAAAACAAGCAAGTTAAACTGTTATAGTCAACAGCAATATTTAACCCCCAGAAAAACACATGGCAATGTGCTGAATTACATTTACTCACATCATGCCCCAAACCATCATGCTCCTCTAAAACAAGGATTACAAAGCTATTACAAAAAAAATATATACATATATATATATATATATCATTTTCTTTATATATATATATATATATATATATATATTTGTATCAGAGGTGGCACCAGAATTGATTAGCAATGCCACTATCGAGATGCCGCAAGTGCTGAAGTTTGCTCACCCAGACCAGATGCTGTACAGTCTCATAAGCAAAGAGCTTGAAAGCTACATATACATAGCAGAAATGTGTGTCTCATCATCAAGCTAAGGCATAGAAGTTATTTGTCCAGAGCCTGAACCCATATTGGCTTCCCCTTCCATTCCCAGGGCCATCCCATCACCTTAACCACAAGGCCACCTTTCTCTCCCATGCTCAGCAGCATTTTTCCAGTGCTTGAGAGACACGTCAAATACAAATTTAAGGGACAGATGCAAGTTTAGTACAAGATTCTATTTTAGGAGTCAGCTTCTAAAGACCAAGGGTAAAATTCATATGCAGCATGCCTAAACGTGGGTCTCCAAGTTTGAGTTCATCACTGTAGGCTTCCTTAAGGAAAAGCTGCCCGCTTCCAGAGGCCTCTCTCTCATATTAAGAATAAGGAAGAGATTCACCATCGTGAGCAGCTTGTTTCTCTTCCCTTGCTGCAGGGAAGCTTCAGGTGAATAGTTCAGATTTAGTCTTCTAAATCTTTTAAATCCAAAAATAGGCAAAATGAGAGCCATTCTGAACAGTTATGAATGAAGAGTGTTTCTGAAGGGGGGGGGAAAAAAAACCCAAGGTTTTGTGATGAAATCTGTGCTGATATCTGAACAGCCTTCTTGATTCACAGTGTGCTGCCTTGAAAAGTACGTGTATAAAAATCAGAGAAATACCTAAGATAAAAGGGCTAGAGTAGAAAGCACTTCATGGAGGGCAAAAGTGGGGTCTTGCCAAAAAAAGCCTTCCCATAGCTGTTGCATAGAAACTTCTTCTAGAACTGGCATGACTATGCCAGTTGTTTTACATTAAGGGCACAGGCAAGAAAGATAGGATAAAGAATAACGACCACTGGAATAAAATAAGATCATTCCATAAAACTGTGTCATATAACTAGCATAAGGCTGAAGAGATCATGATGCTCTTGTCTGGCCTCTGACCTGATACAGGCCAAACCCACCTCCCATCCACCAAAAGTTCACCTTGTCTCAACTTGTAGGCATTTATCCTTTGCCTACAGCACAGTTGTATGTGAAACACTCAAGAACACATGCCGTCTTTGCCACAACATCCCTACTTAGGGAAATCACGTCCCCTCCAAAGGGCCACTGCTTCCAGGTGCTAATTCATGAGGGACTGCATAGGGTGCATTAAAGCATACGCAACAGAACCTGGCTTACCCAGTAATCCAGACAACTCTGTATGAAGTTGCCTAGCACCCTAGCAGATACCCTCCTGAAGTAGCAGAAAAATGCCTGTCTTATGCCCACTGCTCGTAGAAGATCTAATTGCCCTCACCCACAGATAATCAGGCATGTAGTAGTAGTAATAAAAGTTGTGACAGTTTATTTTCCCTGACATTTCTAGCTGTTTTCCTGGGTGCCCAGCCTCCTCACCTGCATTACGCTGAGTGTCTCCGCTTGTTGCATTTTGCTCAAGATAGCTCTCAGGATCTGGTCCAGATTCTCTCCCAGCTCACTTCCGGCTTTGGAAATTAATGTGGAGACTAGCCTGCCTACAAAGGCAGCAGTGAATTCTGAGGTCCTTGGATCTAGCAGCTGGCTCACCACCTGCATCACATACCACAACCCGTTGTGGCCTTGCTCATCATGCCATTGTGCGATTTGCTCCAGCGCCACCGAGACGTATGCACGCAGACACTCGCCACCATTCTAAATGAGAAAAACATTGCCTTAGAATTTCCCTTTCTAGTTCTCCTTTTACTACCCCAAAAAGACCCTTAACCAAGATGAAGGCAACTGGCAAACTAGTGGCACTCTGTAAAACATCCAGGTTCTCTACACGCAGTAAAATGATTGCCTGAACTTAAAAACATTTTCACAAGATTTCAGTTCTATATGAATTCAGACACTCCTTACTGCCCGGGTAACTCTCAGCAGGATCATCTAGGAAATACAAAGACCACCTGAAATAGCTGCCTTTTTGTACCATTCTTCTTATCCAGATACATTCCCACCGATTCTGACAAATAAGAGAGAAAGACAGCAAAGCGCAGCATGAACCAAACAACCCCGTAGCCAAGCTGCAATTTTTGTATCTTCTTAAAACAAAGATATAGCACGGCCATGAGCATGCTGGTCTCCAACTTGTTCTTACTGGTCTTCAAACTATTCTTATAGTTATGTTGTTTAAGGAAAGCCATTTCTATTGCCTGTATTCACATGGCAAAGGGCAGCTGGAACATAAAACTTTCTAGGCAACGATATTGACTTTATCATTTATAACATGGCTACCAACTGTGAGGAAAAAAAAAAAGAAATTAAAAAAAAAATCCTAGTTTTTTAGCCTCAAAAGGTCTCCCCTCTCCACCAAATACTTTAAGATATCACTAGGTAATAGGAGAGACCGCCAACAGTTACAGCTCAGATAGGCACTACTACTGTTTGAAATGCATTCTTGCTCCCTCTCCATCCCATACCCAAATCAGTCAAAAGGAAGTCTAGTAGAGGAGAAGAAAATACGGGCAGGAAGGAGCTGGTCATGGAGCAAGCAAAGAAGCATCTAAACTCCCAGAGAATGGGCTAGGGAGCTTGATTCTGAGGGAACCAAGACAAAAGATCTGGATACCTGCACTCAACACTCCCTGCTGGCTGAGCCATCAGGACAACTTTTTTCCAGACACTCTCCTCCCTTTGTCATGATGTCAGAAACAAGATAGAAAAAAAAAAAAAAATCCCCCTTTTCTTCTCCTTCCTCTCTTTTCCCACTTGAATGAATATAGGAGAAAACTGCCAGAAGCAAGATGCAGGACAGGGTCCTTTGCTCCCCCCATGCCTGAGAGTGCTCCTGTATACCACCTCTGCTATTAATAGGTGTCATGAAAAAGTTAATTACAAAGGGAGAAGAGTGATCCAGAAGCCTATAATAAAGAACAAGGCTGCCGGTCTACCTACTCTGATCCTCCAAATTAAGGAATGATCAGTAAGAGTCATTGCAGCTCTGGAACAGCAATGCTTTCATGATAAACTAGAAGCGGTAGAGACCCCTGAGGAGCTGCCAACATAGCTCCTGGCAAGCAAAGCCTGGGCTCTCCTAAAGTAAAGTGTCTGACTTGGTCACCTATCTCGGACTCCAATTACCCTGCAATCCTTACTGCTGCCCACAGTATTACCTGCATGGTAGCATTGTCATCTGTGTTCAAGCTGCACTGAGCCACTGCGGGGAATGCCTGGCAGATCAAGAGCTGAGACAGAGGAGGTTTTGTGTTCCTCACAACTGTGGTCAATATATCAATAGAAGTCTGAAAGGAAAAAGCAAACAAAAGCATTGTTGCAACAGCAGCCTCAGCATACTAAGTCAGCATTTCCCACCACTGGTGCAAGCATCAAGGTGGAAGGATGCGACCCAGTACTGAGATCACATCCTGATTTTACATACTAGAATTTTTTTTTAGCACAGGACCTTGGAGTCATGAACCCACAGAATCACTATATTTCACATGGACACACGATGCAGCGCACTGTATAAGTGCATGGCAGTTCAAGTATTACAAGAAGTACAATTTCTTAATATGGCCCACAGGCCCACAGTGATGTATAGTATCCAGATGAATGCTAATCAGTACAGCCTGAGAACTGATTAGCCCAACAGCCAGTTGCTGATCTGCTCTGATTAGTTTATATTGATTATTTTAATTACCTACTAGTGATTGTTACAGTGTACGCACATTGATAAAGATGCCGTAAATTCCATAAAAGTTTTCTACATAGCCAACGTTTAATCTTTTATAAATGGACTTTTTATAGAAAGCACAAACCTGTATAATTTATCTACAGTAATTCATATATATGTGATGCTTTAAAGTCTCCAGAAAAAATGCAAGTCAGGTACTCTGCTGGAGAACATTCCACCAAAAAGGAGAAACTGTCGCTGGTGAAAGCTGGCTACATCAAAACCAAAATAATTACAGATACCCTGCAGAGACTGGCAGAAGACCACAGGAACAGAGTTTGAAGTTAACTTTTGGGAGTATCTCCCTGCTCCTGCAGGTTGCCTTCTCTCCACAAGCAAACCTCTCACAAGTATTGAGGTCACTGCTCCATAGTGGTTTAAAAGCAACCTTTCTATTCTTTGCATGCCAAACATCCTATATGTTGAAGGACAGGGAATCATCCCCAGCTAAGACCATGTACTGCTATAGCACTTACTGCACAAAGGCCTGCAGGAATCTTGTCAGCAGGGGCCTGCATGATGCTGACGAGAGTTGGTATTAGCCTCATCTGCATTGGACCCTGGCAGGCTTCTATCTGAGCTAGCTCCTTAAAGATATCTTGGGCAAGAGAAGCAACAACTGGATCTGGGGAGAGAAAGCACCATGTACTAAGACATACTAACAAATTTATCTTTTGCTATCACTACTTCAAACAGGCAAAGCAGCAAGTTTCTCTTCTAGCTTTACCATATGAATCAATATTCATTCAGTTATTAAGTTCTCAACACACTTTCAATACAATGATAAACCTGGCAAGGATCCACTAGCAAAAATAACTGTATGTTGAAAATGCAATTTGAATGCATACCATTACTGTACTTCAGAAAGATTGCAATTGTGAAGGGGCAGATTTTGTTCTCCACACTTGCAGTAAAAGCTGGGTCAACTGTACAGACAATGCAGAGCGTCTCCATCACAAGGTTTAGGACCTCTGAACTGAACTGAGTTGCCAAGTGGATGAGCCCATCAAGAATGCTAGGAAGGAAAGGCTGCAACACATGGGTGCTCTCAGAGATCTTCAACTGGTCACAGTAGCTAGACAAGAAATTCATGATACAAAAAATGCATACAACATATATTAAAGGGATTCATACATTTACCACCAGAGGATATATAAAGGGTTATTTCACCTCACCCATTTTTTTTCCTACATGCCCTGCTTTAGGGTTTTTCCTCCCTTCAATCTACTACTTCCTCGATCTTTCAACAGCTCAGCCATTCTTCCTCCTCATTCCATTCCTAGATGGTCCTCAGATGCAGAGCCGAATCACATGTTACCAGCTTCCACCCCACCTTACTAAAAATTCTTTCTTGAGATCTACCACCAATGGAGAAAACTTGAAAAGCCTTAAGAAAAAGTGTGATCCAAGTGGGAGAATCACTGCTTACAAAGTGTTTAATCACCAAGCTCTACAGGTGACACAGGGAAGGACAAAACCATTTCAAAATTATCTAAGTTTCTACCCTTATTTTTCATTATCCTTTCAATGTAAACAGAAGACAAGGTGAATTTTGGGCAGAACGGCTATTAAAATACTAGTTTTAAGTGCCTTTTATATTTCCTGTCCTTGGGGCTTTTGGATAGTCTAGCATCTACTTACCCCCATATAGCTCTGACTGCAGAGATTCGGACAGAAGGAGGCTGGGTCTCGTGTAGGCCACTGACAGTAGCTTGCAGGAACTGCTGGATTAGTTCTGGAGACATAGCTACGGTAAAACGACTGGCAGCCCAAAGAGCACGACCCAGGAGAAAAGGCGACACTGAAACAAAAAAACCCAGTGGTTTCAGAATAAGTCTTATGATTTTGAAACTCAGCTGCTTCCATTTGTTATCCAAAGTTTTGTCATCCCATTAGGAAAATAATAAGATAAAACACAGAACAAAAGACTAGTATGAGGGAACACAAAGTACTTCTGTTCATAGGCAATATCCAGATTTTTTTTTTTCTTAATTATTCCAAAAAAAATAACTTCTCATTTGTTTAAAATCTTCATGCCTCAACTAGTTACACTTGAATTTGTTCATCAGTGCAGCAGTATATGCTTTGCTGATCACTGGAACAAAAGTAAAAGGAGAACAAACACTTTTTCAGTAACCCCTGTTCATCGAGCTCAAAATTTTGTTTTGCTCACTCCAACAGCAGAAAATAGTAAATGCTCATTCTCTACTCACCTATTCTACTCTTGTCATGATAAGAGATATCTTTATCATACCTACCTCTCTGCCTTTTCAGGCTGAGCTGTCCTTATCTATTTAGGCTACCCTCAAATAGACGATGCTTTCTATCTCTCAGCATCTTTACTGCCATTATTTATACCACTGCAAATACTCTTTTATTTGTTTTAAGATGAAAACTTTGAAAACTGCATGCAAGATGCATAGCAATAAAAAATTTGTTTTCTAAACAAGTATTAGAAAGAACTAACATTTCATTTGTTTGATTGCCACTAGTGAACACTGAATGGATGTTGTCTGAGAACTATCTATACTGACTCCAGGAGCTCTTTCTAAAGACCAATAGCTCAGCTTCACAGAAGAAACAACTTCAGCTGTTCAAGTTTCATGTATGCTACTTCAAATGCTATTTCTTCATTCCAAATTAACTCTAAAAAAGGGAGGGAAAAAACCCTCCAAAACAAAAAAAAAAAAACACCACTTGGTAATCAGCCAAACAAATTCTTGCTTTGATGAAAACATCCACAGTTTGCCTTTTCTACACTGCCACAACTTAATGTGCAATCACCAATACTGCTCATACTGGCTCAAACTTCCTAAAGTTTTATTTGCAAGTACTTTTGAAGCCCAATTTTCAACGATTCCTTCGGCTTTTCTACATGCTGATGTCTGACAATATAGAAAGCAGGACCCTGAGGAGTTCACAATAGGATCCTGCTTTGCTAGGAAAATCATTTGAGCTCATCTGCTGTAACTGGTCTCAGCCCTCAGGTGAAAGAAAACGAGATGGTATGGCACTGTAGGAATTCTGAAGCCCATGAAATACTGTTGGTGTCTTCCCCAGGAACTGAAACAAGGGCAACGGAGCAGTTATTTTCCACCAACCTCCCCACATAATCTCCCTTCCATCTTCATAATCTGGAGCCTACAGGCTCCAGCATCCAGACCACAGTGAGTATCAATTGAAATCATAGCATTTCACATTTAAACAACTTGTATTAGACCTGATAGCACATGTGAACTGGGAAGATAAATTTTTTTATCCTTTTATATGTACAATGTGCACAATTACATTTCACAACGCCGTACGCATGCAGCAACCTGATACATCAGGCATTTTCATTTGTAAGAGATTTCCAAGAACCTGGTGCTTAGCAGTTACTGAGTAATGGCAAGGACCAATGTACCTGAAAGGTTTAGGTCTGCGAGAACAACATTTGTCAGGAAGCCATGCATATCAAAATGTATTCTCCCATTCTTCACACTGTCTGTAATAATAGATTTCACAGAGCCCAGGGCCAGCATACAAGCTTCATGTATTTTCCACCTGCAAAAGAATTCAGAAGTTAAGTTAAGATGTTAACTTAAAACTTTAAGTTTTCTCCCGACCATCACCTCCAAAAAGTGAAACAACTAAGATTTTTCTGGTCTGAGCTACCACAACTATTTTCTTACTCCCCAAACAGAGCATCTGAGCAGACCTTGAAAGAAATGAACACTCACAAAACTCCAAGATGGAGCCTTGGAGACTCACCATGGATAGGCAGCATTCTTGATCGCTTTCTAAAATAATGGCTCAGCAAACATCACTTCTTGAAATGCTTCTTGTTCTCAAAAACAAAAAAACACCCCACCACCCCCCACCGACACACAGGAAAAAGAAAAAAGAAATAACATGAGAATCTACTATGAAGGCTTAGGTCTCCAGCTGTGCCTTGCTTGACCGTTCTATACTCAGAAGTACTGAGATATCAAGTACACTGATGATTTAAAAAAAAAAAAATCTCTATTTTAGCATTACATTTTGGTAATTATGAAGAAATAGGGTTTGGGGCAAATAATAATTCTCCTTGGTGTTATTTGTAAAGCAAAAGATGACCAGAAGTCTTTCTTGATCCAAAGTGAACCTAATTTAAATTTATCAAGTTCAAAGCAGATAGGGACTTAATGGTGGTTTTTCTGGCAGGGGAGAGGGACACGCACACAAGGCTTGATTTCTCAGACTTTCAGATACTGCTCAATATATATAGAGTAGCTAATCTGACAGTAATACTCAAAATAAACACAGACACTGAACTAATTCACTCTGAAATAGAGAGAGAATAGTTATGGAACAGCAACTAGGTGTTCTTTCAATTGAGTATTCTCTCCTATCCTCCAGTAACACTAGAGATTGCAACTGAAGTTTTAAAACTGAACACACATATCTGCATACAGCACCTAAATCTCTTCCTTACATCAAGTAGAAAAAAAATACGCCTGAAATGTTGAGCTTAATTAACTGAACAGAAGGCCAATTTCTCTTCAGATCATGTATGGCTTTAACTATAGCTTCCCATGATATTTTCTCAGGGACTGTCAGAGGTCTGGAGGGAGGGAGGGAGGCAGCCTGGGGATAGCCAGTTTGCGCTAGGAATTACTGAAAGTATTTCACATGAAGGTTTCTGCATCTGGCTTGAGAATTGCTGTACTTCCTTCTTCTTCTAATCAAGAGTCCTGACATTTCATCCTCATCCATCAGCAGCAACATCATGAAAAAAACGTGATTAACTTGTGCCACATCGAATGCTGTAAAAGAGCCTGCCATTCACACCAGGGTCTTGCCTGCTGCCACATCTCCTTACCAGTGCTCAGCACCACTGTTTTTAGCCTGCTCAGCTTCTTGTAAATGTCTTGTAGCTGCCGCAGCCAAAGCAGTTGCACTCTCATTTTGGAAGTCAGCAGCCACAGCCTGCGTGGAAGGAAGTGATAATGCTTATTTGTAAAGACTTTTGAAAGCTGCACTTTTCTCCAACTGCCCCACCTGAAGCTAAATTTGTAAAGACTATGAGTACAGGTCACAACTATTCTTCTTTTTCACTTGAATTAAGTCCGTTCTTGTTGTTATTTTGGTTGCTTGTAAATGTGGAACACTTTTCATACCAGCAACAGATCCTGTGCAGCAATCCTCACTGTATAGGAAAAAGTATCATCATCTTCATCCTCCACAAACTGTTGTGGATTTGCAGTCCAAACTTTTATCTGAAACAGAAAGAGAGAAAAGGACAGTAATCTCAGTGTTGCAACACTGCTTTCAGAATTTTCTCTGCCATACAATGTCCTCAAAGCCTCCTTCAATTGATTTTTTTAATGTTTATTTTTTATTCTAGTTCACATTCTACAAAATAAAGCGCCCGAAAAAAGAGACTGAGTAGAGCATGCAGACTGGACAGTGTTTTCCCTTGCACTCTTCAGGGGAACAAAAGAACAGAGTTAGACTGAGGACTTCCTCCCCTTTACACTGACATCGGGCTCAGACATCAGATGGAAACATTACACCTGAAGCCATCAAGGACTACACGAGTTAGTGCTTCTCTTCTCTCCTATAAATCTCAATCTTGTATTTAAGTAATTAGAGAAACCTTTGGAAAAAAAAAAAAAAAAGAGGCGCTCTCTGTTCCAAGTTCATCTTGCTCTTCTGCTTCCCCATTTGAAATCAGAATTTGACAAGACTAGGGACTGACCTGGAATCATTGCTACACAGAAGACTTTACTTATAGATGAGGAATGGGAGAAGCAGATGAATCTTTAACAGAGTGCCTCTTTTCATGCATGCCTACCTAAACAAGAGAAACTGAAGATGACTGTCAGGTTTGGGAGACCAAGAGGCGTGCAGAAATTCAGTGAGATGTTTTGCACTGCTAGCACAATCCCCTCACTATCAAACAAACCCAGTTACCCCTTTCAGCATGATCTCCATTTTCACAGCATATTCCTTCATCTGCTGTCCACGTTACTACAGAGAAAAATGTTGATGCTATTGCCCTAATTCCTGGCACAGAAGAGTGACAGAATAGCCTATTAGATTACAGCAGCTTCCATCCACTGAAATACTTCCTACGACATTAGCTGTTTTAAATCTCTCATCTCATTTGCCTCCCACACAAGGCAAATGTGCTCACCTGTTCCTCTGTGATCTGCATGTAAAGAAGGATGTAATAGATCAGCTCTGGCAAGGCTTTCTTCACTGTGCTCTTAAATTTGTTGTTTTCCAACAAGGCATGAACAAATTCAAATATGCTGAACACTAGATTTTCAAAGCCCAGTACTTCACCTGAACAAAAAAATAAGTGAAAACAAAGAACATGACTGACTATGCCAGGATGCAGAAAGATATAAATGGGTGTCAAATACAAACTGCTAGCATGTCAGACAGGATAATTTTTGCTCTCACTTCCGGACTAGTAAGGGGAGCAGCTCCAGGAGGATGCCTGGCCTCAACCCTTTCTGCTCTCTTCCCCCACCCCTCATTAAAACTGATCAAGCCCAACCTAAAACCTGTTTAACTTTCTTTTGTCCCATTACTCTCATCTGAAGATTGTTGCAGAACTCCTTGAATTGTAAGAAACTCTAAAGTTACGTACCTTCATTGAGCGCAGTCACATCAAACTTGCAAAAAAAAAAAAGTGAGGAATACTGTTCTAACACCATAAATATATCATTAAGTATGAATTCCTGAAGCGTTTCAGTGACTGTTTTGTCAGGAGTGCAGCTCGACAAGTTCTTACCATCAGAATCCACAGGGTCCTCCACCTCTTCTGTATAATTTACTTCTGTTCTCACATAAGTAGACAAGGTTAAGTAAATACGCGCGTTTCTAGAGAGCTGCATCTATTCAGGAATTAATCTGTTCATATCTTCAAATTCCTGTAACTTTCTTAAGAAAACTTTCACTTTACAGTATAGTCACTGTGTTTCAAATGGAAGACGCTACAGAAGTTTCTGATTCAGGCCATTGCCAAGCTTCAGGGAACACCTCCAAATATACTTCAGGACATCCTTTAGAGAACCTCTGATTCATTTAAACCAAACCCTTCAAAAAGGGCAACCCAAAGCTTCCAATCTATTAAAATCTTGTGAGAACAGAACCACTCAAACTCAATCCTTCCATGAGAAAATGAGCCAATTGAACAGTTTGCTGCTGTCTAAGGGTAAGGATCCATTCCCATCCTTGACCTCTGAGACTAATGCTACTTTTACAGTTTCCATACCCATTTTTAAGCTACAAGAGCATACGATCGATATATAGCATAATTCCAAAACATAAGACTGTGTAGAGAAAAGGGCTAGACCTACGATCTCAAGGAAAACAGCCACTCTAATTAAATTGCACAAAAAAGCTTAGTCAACCTTCACGCTATTATTGCAACACAGTGGCCATTTCTGGTGTTTATTCCAAAAATTCAGAAAAAGCTACAAGAAAGCTCGGTATTCTAAGATTACTGTCTCACAGTAAAAAGCTAACAAAAGCAACCTTTTGGATTAATTATATATGTAAAGATTTGACTTGTCAGCTTGCACGTACTGGGAAAACTACCAACAGAGCATCTCTTTAACAAAGCAGATCGCGTTGCAACGCAATGACTAAGTTACAAAACTCAAAAATCAAATGCAACTTCAGCAGCAAGTATAACCAGTCATTAGTACTGCTGTAGCAAGGAATACTGTAGATTTGCCTTTACCTGAATTCTTTTAATCATGACTAGACATCTTTTTGAAGAGGACGTTTTTCATCAAAAAGTAACTAGAAACAATACAGACTGGTTACTACTCTGCAACCAGTATATTAGAGGCACTCACGTTACTGATCATAGCTGACTTTTAAGCAAAAAGAAACATTACTGAACCTACTGAAGTAAAAGAAATACCCACTAAATGCATACAATAGATTCTGATATTCCGTCTGTCACAGAGTCCCTGTCTCCATGTATAGTGCTCTTCAGCCACGTTTAGATCCTAACTGTATATGAGAAAGAGCAGAGTTTGCACTCTCCTGTTCTAGTGTAAACCATTCACTGCAAAGGATATAAGGCTGCACTTTCTGTAAGGGTATTCCAAACAATGGGCAGGATCTGCTGCATTGATGAAACCATGTGCTTCGGATAGTTTTTCACTAGTGCTGTCACAGCCTGGAAAAAAAAAAAGAAAAGAAAAGGATGATCAATCAGAGGCAAAACCAGGGAACACCACCACAAAACGTTCTAATCACAGGCTGCAGTTTCATGAGCAGCTGGGATACTCCAGTGTCTTGCTGCTGCCACAAAGGGAAAGGCCTCCTTCTCCTCCTCTCACTGCTAACCATGCAGTCCCCAACCCTCCCGCCTCACACAAACAGACCTCTCTCCACAAACTACTTCAACATACTAATAAAAGGAAGAAAAAATCCAACAGTTCACCACTGAGCAGCAATGCTGCTGTATATCACTGCTGGGTACATTAATGGATATAAGAAAAAAAAAAACTCATCCACCTTCTGGAAAAAACACCATTCTAATATTTATATCATTGTCACAGGCTGTCAAGAGCAGGGAGACAGAGATAATTCAGAGACACACCCTTTGAGAAAGAATGGGGGATGTGTTAGATGCGTTACAGAAAAGCACTGCTGACAGAACCAGCCTTTGAAGAAAAAAATTTCAGTTTCTAAAGGTGCCAGCAGAGGATCAGAATCTGATCTGCAGGACCAATGCAAATTCAATATGCTGACGATGGCCACAGTAGCATCTCAAGAGGCTTGTTTCATATGTCACTGCTTATGAACCCTGCACAAGTTATTCCTAAGCTGTATACCAAGTCAGTCTTGCAAATACCAAGTCAATCTCGCAAACCAGGAGGAAGCATAGCTGGGGTAGTAACAGAGCTTCTTAATTCAATAGCTTTGCAGTTCGAACAAGAGAAGACTCCATTTGCAAGTTCACCACCTTCCTGCGGTGCAAGTCATTTAAAAAAGTACTCTCTCCCGTCAAACGTTGCATTTCAACTCTGGCCTCTCGTTCTGCCAATTCCCAGTGCTTGTTTAAGCTAAAAGAACTGCTTTACTGATATCCTCCTCTGCCAACCCACACAGACCATTCCACCACCGCTTAAACACTCCAGAAAATTCATACCCATCTTTCTTAAGAGCAAAGTCACGCTGCTTCCCAAGTAGGATGTTTAATGGCTAAGCTGGACAGTAACTGACTGCATCGGTACCTCTAGCCTGAGTCACTGTATGGACTCACTAAAGCCACCACTGGGGGAGCAGTAAGACAGCTTCTTAACCCCCTCCAGCTATTCTACAAGCCAACATCCGACTACACCTTGACTAATTGCTCAGCACGTCTCAAAACACCCCCTGCTGTAGCTCTCTGTTAAAGCCTTCTGTTGCTCCACTTCCTACTTGGGTCTTTAGACAGCATCCAGAACACTGTAGAGAAGGAACTCCCAAACGTGTGGATAAAAAGCTTAAAATAGGCACTAGCGAGCAGCTGGAGAGTACGCTCAAGCCAAACACCGAGTAAGAGTGCAACAAACACAGGTAACGTCCTTTGCCCATAAGCTTAAGAAAAACTTACCCTCAAGACGCTGGCTACCATCTACCCTTCCACACAAGAACATGAGAGTAAGATTAATTGTTTTCCATAACCAGTTATCCAACAGAAGGAGAATTATAAGCATACCTTTTCCTACCCACCCCATGTACAGGTATCAAAAGAGCAGATTTTATATATAAGCAAAGCAGCAAGGCTGTAAAACACTTTACACTTGGTTAATTGCCACTTTTTGATGCAATTATGATATGCTTAGTATGCAGTATCTGTATTCCCATGTTATGAAATGTACCTTAACTCTATTAGCAGCCATATTTAATCACAGTATGTCCTCTCAAAGCAATCAGCAGTGGCTTGTTTAACAACAAAATTTGAATTAGGATTCAAGAATCCAATTAGTTGCAACTCACTCAGTCTCAGAGAGATAATTCAATTCATGCTAAACTACCGAACAACAAAACAATGAATTAAACTAGTGGTATTCTGCTTCCAGCCTTTACGGGACAATATATTTTTATGTTAACATTCAAGAATCTGATCTGTAATGTATTTGACATATATTTGTAATTTGACATATATACTATACCAACCACTAATACATAGGGAAAAGGATGAAACCTAATGTATCAGGAATTGACTTTTTTTAAAAAGTCACAGTTAAATTTTCTATAATCTCCAAAAAGAATTGAATTAGTTTTGAAATATTACAAGTCAGTGAGAACGAGAAACAGATTAGACAACATTCTTCTAAAGGAGATGAAAAGTTATGAAGGCTTGAGGGCCCGGCTTCAAAAGTCTGTGGGAAACCTCTTCATGGGACAACACCAAAGTCATGATCAAGGCTCCAGACACACGCTGCCTTCGCAAGCACCTGTATTTAAGGAGAAGGCTTAAGGAAGAGTTATCACTGCTTCAGGCATGCCAAAAAAGGCTGCTTCTATGAATGCTTGAAACACACTGAAGAGCAAAACAAGCCAGGTCAGATCTTTGCTGACCTAGCTCACTGTGGCTATGGTACAGGTCAGAAGTAATACATAAAACAATCTAAAGGCTAGCGTCATCCAAAACAGAGATCTTGCTTCTCCTTCTTCCTCCAGTCATACACTCCCTGGCACCAGTACTGGCACCTGTCTAACTACCCGAGACAGCCCCTCTGGCAGCAACAAGCACTTCACATCCCCTCTGCTTGTACTATAAAACCCTGCCTGAAATAAGGTTAGGAAACATTCAAATGAGCATAGCTCTGCAAGCAAGTTGGAGGGTACAATAATATCTGGGACGGTATGGAGGGAAGAGGAGGATACCAAAGGTGTCCCAGAACGAACACAGAGCTGAGGACAGCATACCTCCACTTGCATAACTGTTGGCTCTCTTCAAATCCACACACAATATAAGGCTACAAATTTACATTCAATGCTGTGACTGATCTGATGAAAAGATACCCAGTAATGATACATCCAGTCACTGCAGGAGAGACCATTTTGGCTCAGACATTGTAGATCAGTCAAGGTGGGCTGACCTCTGAAGGGCCATCAGCCGTCCAAGCCTCTTATCTCTTACGAGGTCTAAAAGCACTGACTTTGCTTCTGCTAACTTCTTCTAGACTTATGACTATACTTGGAAAGATGCAGAAACAAATTAATAATCAACGGTTCATCATGATGTGATCCAACCTAACTACTTCAACAGGATAACTGCCCTAAGGGATCAGGCAGATGCATATGCTTCAGCATTACTCAGCAAGGCTTTCGAGACGGCCCTGCGTAACGTTCTTACGTGGAAAGTAAGACAATTCATTTTACATCCAGGGCTGCTTCTGATTTCCACTGAGAAATTTATTCACCTTGGAAGATGGTTCTCTGAAGAGACAGAAGGGAAAAGGAAAAAACAAAACAAAAAACCTCCTGTCATCTGCTGCCCAGCACTCCATTAAGTAAAAAGAAAAGGTTGGGTTCACATCTGGTTGAGAATTTACTATCAAAGAAACCTTAGTGGCACCCTTCCCCATTGCATCAGCATTACAAGGGGTCCTGCAGTGATCTCATCTGTAGAGCTGGCTTAAACAATCCCTTGAGGCCTCTCACTTCTTGTTACAAAGACTGTGAAATACACCCTCCTGGAATGGAAGGCAATTTATGGGTCTTTCACCTGAATCTATTTTTCTTTAGAAAACTAGTATCATTAGCTTAGTAATCCGAAGTGACGAAATCATGACTTGCCTTTAGCCAACAGCCAGAACGCTCATCGCCCTGCAAAAGTCTTCTACAAACCCGTTCTCATCAGGTGGTGTCCTAAATGCACTGCTTAAACCCATAGTGATTTTCTGTTGCCTTTAACATCACACAGCACATGAACAGTGCATGACATAAAGTACAAATAGCTCCAGCTTCAGTAAGGATGGTTATCTAAACAACAAAAAAGGCTCCAGCTTGCTGCAGAATATGCGGATGCAACATTTACAGAAGAGCTGGTCTGCAGTTAGAATGAAACCAGTGCTTTCACTTGTAGGCTGAAAGTGAGTTCTCTGCTTCCTAAGCACCAAAACACAGACACCTTGAATCAGAGATTCAGTTATACTTGAGCTGGAGCCTATTCAAATCGAGGTTACCATGCAGAGCATCCCCGAATCCCTTTATGTTAGCTTTCCAGGTTACTACTGTCTGTCATAGGTACCCCAGTGCACGGCCAGTGAACAGGACAACACCATAAAATGGTGTTCGTCTCACACTGAAGGGAAACAGAGAAAACAATACTGCAAGGCAGTTTCTCTCAACAAAACCTCCCAACATCCTATCCCAAACTCTCTTCCATTTCACTCCATGCAGTGAGAAATGTGCTCCCACTGCTTCCAGTTGACAATACCTGCAATCTCTTCTTGAGAAGAGGCAACAGGAGGAGAAGCAATAGGATGCCGTAAGCAGGGTACTGCCCTCTTAACAGGGCTATGGAAGCAAGTTCCACAACATAGTAGCTGCCAGCTTATATAGTGTGATAGTATTCTTCTGCACCTCCCAGCACGTATGTGCATCATGATGCCAGCTAGTCATTGTGAAAAGCTTCTGATGCTTGTCTTCAAAAAAACTTCCTTATCATTTTCCTCAGGAAGCGTGGCTGAATGGGCATCAGCTGCCCGTCTTCATAAAACCCTACGCTCCGACCCAAGTCTTCCAGATCTCTCATTTACTTGCATACGTGCTGAGGAAAGGATTTCATTCAGCAACTCATGTTTTTGAGCTCTTCTCATTTTCTTTTCCTATGCTGCAGACAACCCACCCTAGAACTCCAGTACTTTCCCAGCTGTTGAAGAGAGCACCTTACCTACACCAGCACTCTTGGCCACAGTCATTTGGCTACGTGAACTGATGCAGGGGTAACGCTCTGCAATCCAATCTTCTTTCCTTTATAAGGAAAGTGGGAGAACACAAAGATCTTTGATCTCTACTCGGCAGAGATAATTAAGTAATAACGAGCAAGCAAGTTCTGGAAAAGCACCTAGACAAAAGAAGCTTTTAAAACTTCACTGCAGAATTCTGCATCATCTTTAAAAAAAAACCGGATATTTAACTTACAGAGCACTGTGTCCAGAAAAGTTGCATCTAAAACGTCTTAGATCAGCAAATGACAAAGACATCCCTATGGATCTCATCACAGATATCTTCAATTCGGAATGATTTATTTCAACGTTGTATGGTACTGGTAGGCAACCAGTTGCTTTGCAACTTCTAACACAAGCAGTATCAGCAGAGGTGACATGCACTCAACTTTCCCTGTTTTCCAGCATAGATGTTCCAACTGACAGCATATTGGTATTTAATCATTTCTTTATTGAATGAGTCTTAATTGACTTACCTTTAGGACCTCCATCTTAAATCCACTGTCTGACGTAGGCCCATCAGGCATTTGTAGTGCCTGAACAAAGGCCTCTGTGAACTGCTGCACCACAGGAAAAATCAGGACTTTGGCTGCACCCTGGTTATAATAAATGCAAACACAGGTGAATTCTAGATACAGGAATGGATAAACTCACATATCTGACAAGTAAAGCACTAGAAGCAAAGGAAATTGCACTTTTCTGCTACAAAACAAAACAGAGGATCATGAAAGCTACAGAATGTTGCAAAAATCACACAAAATACTAGTTTTGGACCTCACTCTACCTAGAGATCCAGACAACCTGGTCAGGAGAGTCTCAGGTGTACGCCACTTCTGACTAAAGAAGATACTTCCATTTGGTTAGATGAACCATGCCCTGCACTCTGTTGACCAGACTCCCACAGACCATAAAGGAAACCTGAGGTGACTAGCTCACAAACAAGCAATTAAAGCTGAACTCTGAGGATGGCAATCGTCTCCCTCCGAGCCACCCTCCTCAAAAGCAAACAAGCTCTTTGTGAGCTTGAGTATTAGCAGCTAGTCTGAGAATTACTGTGACGATTATTCCTAGGAAATGTTTTTAAGTATTCTTCCAGATGTTAAAGCACTTCATAAGCAGTGCTTGGCAGAGTAAGTAACACTGGACAAAAATAACTTTACTGAGAATGTTCATCATAACTCCATACATAAGACAGTTAAGTTATTTGCTTAATCCAACTATGAAATATCACCTTAACTCTTTGTATAAAGATTTATTGAAATTTGAGATAGGAAAAGCCAGAAATAGTTTTGTATACAATCTAAAAGACACTTCCATCTGGCCTCCAGAATAAGACATTGGAGAACTACCACATGCTATCTTTTGAAAACTGGTCCAATTTTCATTATATTATTGCATACATGACTTGCAGTAGAAATATCATGTCAGTGAACATGCTGCATGTCAGTGCAATAGAAATACTATGTAACTATTAGAACTTCCTAGAAGATTGCACTGAATTAATAGGCAAACAGGAAGAAAACAGCAGATATAGCCACTCAGCACAGATTTAACAGACCACTAAATTAAGAAAGTTGTCCATTCCCACCCCCTTAAAGGTGGAGAGAGCTATTTGGTGTCTGAGGAGTGTTGAGAAATCCACTTGTCAGAGGCCATATAAAAGATCTGGACCTCTTCAGAGCTAGACAGGAGACATATATATGTGTGCATGTACATGTGTGTATATGTACATGTGCATGCATATACATGTATATAAATATATGTAAAAGTGTGTGCATATATATACACACACACACAAAAAATATGGCTACTTAAATCCTTAGTGTTTTTTCTTCATTGCCTATTCCTCTATTTTTTCCCCCCATTGCCTCTTCAAGAACACCATTGCTGATATGTATGCTAAAGCAATCAGTTAACTACCAGGAGCTTGTAACCAACGGCTAGTGCAAGGGCCAGAAACCTGTCCATCACAACCCAGACTGCCAAGGTCCAGAAATTAATTAGGACATACACTTCACAACCAGAAGCCATGACACAGATTCCCAAAGGGATGATACAGTGTTTCTTCCCCACATTGACACACCTTGATCTGAGGGGTTAAAGGCACCTCTGTTATTTGCCTGCAATTTAAACTTAGTTGTTGAGAGAAAGTCATAGGATCAAGACATGCACGTAAAAGGGCTAACTCCCTCCTTTACATGTATTAAATTATACTATCTAACCCAGAATTATGGTTTATAGAGTACAAAACTTCTCCAACACGTTTCATTTTCATAGAACCCCATTCATTTTGGATTCAATGCATGTTGTAGGGTAAGGTAAACTCTTGCCTTTTCCAATTCCTCCATGTTACAGATCATATGGGCACAGGTGGTAAATATCTCCACTGCACGTGACCTTGTGCGTATACCATACACCTAGAAAAAAGTTTATAAATACATCAGGAACACAAAATACTTTATTTTAATTCCCTTTTGTTCTATTTTTTGGCCTCAACATTTCTGTTGGATCACTAGCTGTTGTCAATCATCACATCATCAAAAAAATTATGAGTCTAACTCTTACTACAATATAGCTTAACCTTTAAGTCAGAGTTTCTCTTCACAGAATCACAGAATCGTTTAGGTTGGAAGGGACCTCTGGAGATCATCTCGTCCAACCTCCCTGCTCAAGCAGGGTCCTCTAGAGCATATTGCCCAGGATCACATCCAGACGGCTTTTGAATATCTCCAGCGAAGGAGACTCCACCACCTCTCTGGGCAACCTGTTCCAATGCTCTGTCACCCTCACAGT